CCACTTACAGAGGAAAAAGGCATTTATTAAATCTTATAAATAATGAAAAATGCTTCATATATTTTGCTTGAAATTTATGCATATACCATCTCATTATATATATATATATATATATATATATATAACTTTATGGAGTGATGGAAGATAAGTAAATCTTACTGGCTTGGCATGGAAGTTTGTTTAAGGCTCTGGTCCAAGCCCAGGTTTTTGTTCATTCCTGCCTGTAACCTGGGTGGGAAATGAATGAGGGACTTTCTTTTCAAATTGCATGAAGCCCTCCTTTAATTGATATACCAGATGTAGATTTTATCATCTTTTTAAAAATAGAAATCACTACTTTAAACAAGCATTATATGGCTGTTCATGCACATGACATGTATATAAAATCACATTTTACAAAACAAAGTTATATCTCACCTATACTTTAGGGCCTTGACTGGAATTTGCAAGAGACTTCCTCCTTCAAATGGAAGGTGCACAGTATCATCATCATCTTGAAGCATCCGTTCAGCTTCCTTTAGAGCACATATGTGAAGAGATTACATTTCCCAAAATATTTCCAGAAAGATCAGTTATATATAACATCTTAAAGACTTAGAAACCCAAACTGACATTATTTAAATATATCTGCCATGATTAAAAAATTCACTTTACAATTATGAACATACTTGTAACATAAAATGAAAACAATCACTTATAAGATTAATTTTAAAATGGTATAACTTTCATTTCTATATGTAAAAAGCAACAACTATATAAATTCTGATTATCAATTAGTATGTAGGTATGTAATAAGAGATAAAATTTTGTGAAATCTCATGTCTCTCATCACAATATGAGTAAATCCTCATTTAGATAAGGCAGGATTTCCTAACATCAGCAATATTGATAGTTAGGGGCAAATAAATCTTTGTTGCAGGGGGACGTCCAGTATATTTAGGTATTTCACAGCATCCCAGGATTCTACCCACTGGATGCCAGTAGCAGCCCTCCAGTTATGACAAACCAAAATATCTAAGACATTGAAATATCTCAGACACTTGGACAATGGACACAGAACAAAATTATAACATGTTAATAATGGGGGTGGTGGCTCACGCATATAATCTTAGTGCTCTGGGAGGCTGAGCCAGGAGGATCGCTCGAGCCCAGGAGTTTAAGGTTGCAGTGAGCTATGATGACGCCACTGCATTCTAGCTGGGGTGACAGAGCAAGACTCTGTCTCCCCCGCAAAAAAATGGCGGGGTAGATAGGGCAGTATAGGAGAGATCGCAAGAGAATTCATACTTTTCTTTCTCACTAAAAGAAATCTAACTATCTGAAGGTAGCAATGTGCCTAGATTTCACAAACCAAAAAACACACCCTAAACTAAATTTCCCAGCATTCCCAGCAACACAGTGGCGACATGTGGTACAAGCAGAACTTATTAGATGACATTCCAGAAAGACTCCTTAAAACAGGACAATGGCGTAAAGCCCATTTTGCCTTCCCTCCTTTCTTCTCCCTGCTGTCTCTAATTGCATGATAGCTGAGTGTGGCAGCCATTCTGACCCCATGAAGCGAGCTTGAGGATGAAAATATATGCTGAGGACAGGAAAAAAGCAACGAAGAGTCCCTGGTAACGTCATGGAGCCACAGCACTAGATCACTTGCTTTCAGGAGTATTTTTAATTGAAAGAATAAACTCTTGTGTTTAAAAGCCACTTTTACTTTTGTTTTTTGTTATGTACCACTAAACATTATTCTGATACAGTAACAGACAATTTGGCCAAGTAGTTTACAAATAAATTATATCTTATTTGAAAAATCACTAAGAACTCATACATATTTACTTATAAAACTTTGAAGAAAAAAAATCTTAATTTTAAAATTTTGGAGGCTCAATTCAAATTAACATTCTAATTAGTATCTAATTAAAGAGTTATAATTTTTGTTGAAAAGTAAACATAAAACCAGTAATGTTTTATCACTATTTAAACAAGACCATAACATTTAACAATATCTATCTTTCTTCTTACCTTTGATTTTCAAACAATATTCTGAATGGAAAAATTAAGCAAGGCACTACAATCAACAAAACCATCTGTGCTATATGATGTCTATACCTGTCCTTCTTAAGTGATAGTACAAAGTTGGTTATTAAAAGCCAAAATAAAACTCAAATTCAGAATAAAGTACTCATGTTTAAATCTCAGTATAGGCTGGGCATGGTGGCTTGGGCCTATAATCCCAACTACTCGGAAGGCTGAGGTAGAAGGATCACTTGAGCCCAAGAGTTTGAAACCAGCCTGGGCAATATAGCAAGACCTCATCTCAATCAATCAATTAATTAATCACTAAAATTAAATATCAACATACAAACTAATGGTGGCACATAAGACTTTATTTAAAGATTACAGCTTTATCATACTTTTTTAGAAAAAGATATTTACTTAAAAGTCCCTTTTGTCATTATGTAAGGCAGATTATTAAAATGCTATTAAAATTTAAATATATGCTAAAATTAATGTACTTAATGTATTAAAGTTAAATCAGATGATAGACTGATGTAAAATTATTTTGTGTTACCTGTATTTTAATATTGCTAAAAGCTCTAATTCTTTTGATTGTTGGTTACATACACACATGATACGTAATTTTTAAAAAGTATTCTTGTGTTAGGGATATGGAGGAGTGAGATGGTAAAATGGGTAACAGTCTATGTTTGGAATAAGTTACCTAACTGCTCCCTGCCTCAGTTCCCTTATTTGTAAAATGGGGACAATAATAGTACCTAGTTCACTTTATAAGGTTCTTATTAGGATGAAAGAAGTTGATTTATATAAAGTGATTATATAGTACCTGCTATATGATACAAAATATTCAACAAGGGAATGCTGTAAATTTAAAAGTCTTATCTTTTTACCTCTTTCTCTTTTTTCTTTTTGTCATCTTCTTTCTTTTTCTTACTTTCTGGCATGAGGTCATCAAGCCAACTAAGTTCTCTCTTTGTGAAACACAAGTCCATGACCTTGCGTACAAAAACCAATGCAAGAACCTTAAAAAAGTGGGGAGGAAATATTAAGTAATATATACTACAAATTATACCACTTACAGAGGAAAAAGGCATTTATTAAATCTTATAAATAATGAAAAATGCTTCATATATTTTGCTTGAAATTTATGCATATACCATCTCATTTCAAAGGAACTGAGTCACCTATTTATCTTCTTTAAAAAGATATAAAGTTATAAAGCTATTAATCTTCTCCTGAATAAATCCCTTGTACTCTGTATAAAATTATAAAGCAGGTTAAGTATGCTGAATATTATCAAAGTAAAAAAGATTAATTTTTTAACTTTAGATTATATATAAGTATATGTAATTTTTAAAATATCTTAAGCAATGCATTAGAGTACCTATTCCCAGCATTAGATTTTAACTTTTCAATCATTTGAGAGAAGACATATTACTTAATTTGCTTTTCTTCAACTGCTACAGAGAATGAACACATTTTCAAATGCTGATTGGCCATCCGGATTTTCTCTTCTGTTACTTGTTATTTTCTAACCTTTGCCTGTTTTTTCTATTGGTTTTTATGACTTCTGTTTATGAACTCATTAGAGTTCTGTGTGGTTTGGACAGAACCCTTCATCTGTCTTATGTGTAACAAATATTTTCTCCCAGGTTCACAATCTGATTTCACTCTGTTTTTGATGCTTTTTGAACATACAAAAAACATTTATCATGTGGTCAAATATCTTTCTTTTATAGTTTGGTTTTCCTATCTTCTTTGAAAAGTTATCCCTAATCACTAGATTATACAAATACTCTTATAAATTTTCTACTACAACTTATTTTACCATTTAAATCGTGAATTCATTTATGATTTCATTCTGAAAATAGTATTACGGAGTATAACCTTCTAGTATACAGTTAAATCTTCATTATATACTAAGTTTGTCCATAGAAATAAAATACCATTTTTAATGAAATAATCTACTTATGGTATTCAAGTGATAAAATTCCAACATATTCAGATAAATTTCTGGACTCCTTAGTTTATTTTTATGATCTATTTGTCTATTCCTATGCCAATTCCACATTGTGTTGGCTACACTAACTTGCCAGCAGTTTTTAAATATTTGGTTTCAAAACAGTGTGGTATCAGCACAGAAAAAGTCAAATAGATGGTAAAGTCCTCCAACACCACCTCTAGCCAGGAATCCTTTTTAATTTTAATTACCTTTATCTTGTTATTCTCTGGTATTTATGCCTTTATTTTTAATGAATATATAATTTACATATAGTAAACTACAAAAATAGCATGTATACAGTTTGATGATTTTGACAAATGTATATATTAATGTAACTACACCCCAAGAAAATACAGAACATTTCTACCATCCATGTTGTTGTGGGTTTGGCATTTATTTTTCTCTATAAGCTCTGAAATTATTTATCCAGTTCATGATGACACTGTTCACCACTCCAACACATACATTCAAATAAAACTCTAGTAAAATTCATACTTGGAACTATATTACCTTTAAATGCTATTTTTCAGAGAACTAAAATTTTTATGCTAATAAGTCTTCATAACAAGGAACATGGTATTTGTTCAGATCTTACTTTACATCCGTTAATACAATTATGGGTTGAATTTTGTACCCCATTAAAGATAAGTAGATAAATGAATGAATGAATGAATGTCGAAGTCCTAACTGCCACTACCTCAGAATATGACCTTATTTGGAAACAGAGTTGCTGCAGATGTAATTAATTAAGATAAAGTCTATTGGAATAGGGTGGGCTCCTAATACAAAATGATTGGTACCCCTATAAAATGGCCATGCCATGTGAAGACACGGAAACACACAAGGAGAACACCATGTGATAACAAAGGCAGACCTGAGTTATACTGCTACAAGCCAGGGAATGGCAAACATTGCCAGTAAACCTCCAGAAGCTAAGAAGAGGCAAGGATTCCCCTACAGGTTGCAGAAGGAGCATGGCCCTGCCCACACCTCCGCACACAGTCTCCAGAACGGTGTGACGATAAATTTCTGTTTTAAGCCAACCAGTTTGTGGTACTTGGTTATAGCAGCCCCAGGAAACTAATAAATACAAATGCTATTTATAAAGCCTTTTTCTTAAATAAATAAATAAATAAAAATAAAGCCTTTTGCTTTAAATAGGTCTTTCTTTAAAATTTTATTCTTAAGTATTTTATAGTTTTTGGTCATTATTGTGAATGAAATTTTATTCCCATTTTTAGTATTATTACTGAGTTGGAGACCATGTACTAATTCTCATGTTTTCTTATACCCCTACCCTAACACAATTCTTATTAATTCTATTAAGGGCTCTTAGTCTTTTTTTGTTTATTTTTTAACCCAAGTCACTTGGGTTAATAAGTATACAATCACATTTTCAACAAATATGTTAATAATATTTAATCATGACATTACTCTAAGAAATACTGATAAATTTATTTGCTAACATTTAAGATTTTTGCACTTACATTAATAAGTAAAAGAGCTCCATAGATTTTTTGTACAACTAAATTAGGCTTTGGTATTAAGATCTTGTTAGTATTTCATCAGAAAAACTACAGAAATTTCCATCTTTTTCTTTGGTATAGAATAATTCAAGAAGTATTATAATTATCTCTTTAAGATTAAGCTGTTAACCAATCTGACCCAGGCACTTTAAGGGCAGATCTTTAACCATTTTTCCAGTCTCTTGTATGCAACTGGGCTATACACAGGTTTTATACTTCTCTTTGGGTCAATTTTGGAAATGTAGAGATAATTTGGAAATGTAGAAATAAATGTATGGAAATAATCCATCTCCTCTAGATCAGGGGCTGGCAAACCACAGCTCCTGGGTCAAATCTGGTACACCATCTATTTTTGTATAGCCCATGAGCTAAGAATCATTTTATTAGACCAACATCTGAAATTAAACTGGTGATAGAAAACACTGACCTTGAACCCCAATTAAGTGAAATGTTATCCCAAATAAAAAACAATTTCATTCTTCTCATCAGTAGTCCTGTATTTCTTTTTTTAAAAAGAACTGTACAATTTTTTTAAAATGCAATCAATAAGAAATTGTGAAAATTTGTTTTTCTCTCTTATTATATATGTATCTACATAATATTCTCATGGCCTACAAAGCCTAAAATATTTACCATTTGGCCCTTTGCAGAAAAAAGTTTGCTCACCCCTGCTCTAAGATGTTCAAATTTATTGCTATACATGCAATATTTTCTTAAAACCCCTTGAATCTCTTCCACATCTGTGGTTATATTTCTCTTCTCCTGCTTTATCTTATAAATTTCACTTTCTCATTTCCTCTTCACTCAGGTTTGGAAGGGGTTTATCCATTATTGATCTTTACGAATAAAAAGTTTTGTTGTATTTAAGTCTTCTTGAGTAATAAAGGCAATGAAGTATACACATCTTCCTCTGAATATAGCTGGGCTCGAAGTTTTAGACAGACATTTTTATAAAGTTCTCCCTTTCTCTTTGAGGTTACAGTGAGCTACGACTGTACTACTGCACTCCAGCCTGAGGGACAGAGAGAGACCCTGTCTCTAAAATAAATAAATACAGTTCTCCCTTTCAATACCTCTATATGGTTTTTTAACTCAGTTTTCTATCCAGGGATTATTTACAACACCGTTTAATTTCTAAATACTTAAGATTATTTTAGTGGCTTAACATTAGTTTTTTTTTTTTTTTTGTAATTTAAGTGTCACCAGGGAATATTACTTCCAAAATTTTTATGGCTTTTTAATTTTTTTAGGTTTTCTTTGTGGCCATGTACATAACCAATTTCTGTACAGTATTTACAACAGGATGAATATTCTCATTTTGTAAAATGCAATATTCCATGATAATTTAATGAATTATATTGATTGTCTTATTAAAGTCATCTATAGGCTTCATTACTTTTAACTTCTAGATCTGTCAATTTCTGAAAAAGACATATTAAAATTTTCCATTAGACAATCACGTTGTTTTGGTTGCTTTGCTTTTTACATTAGACTATTATGTTTATTTCATGAACATCCTAAAATCTAAAGTTGTTGAAAAATACAAAACAGAGTTCTATAGCCTAAGGACTAAAAAAAAAAAAAAAAAATTTAGAAAATGATAAGACAATTCAGACTGAGAAACAACTGGTTTATATCTAGAAACAGATAATCCACATTTTCAAACACCTAAGGTGCTTAAAATGGGCTATTCCTTTTCTCAAAGTCAATTATAAATATTAATGAAAGAGTTAGTATAAAAACATAGAAGTATGTTATTAATTAGTGACAAAGTAAGTCTGAAAAAACTTACCATCATGGGAAAAATTACTGCAGCAGCTGAAGCTTTTATCACCCACAAAAGAACCAGACAAGTAAGCTGAATGACTGTAAAAATATGGACCTTCCAGAGAGGCACGTAACGGAGGTATATCAAATCAGGCTGATGCTTAGCAGGCATTCCAAATAATTTAATACGGTCAAAAAACTATATAAAATGAAAAACAAAATAGAAAAGAAAAAAGTTCTCAACAAAATATCATTTTGCTATTATGAAGACATTATACTCAACTTTAGGGTTTTGTATATTCAAATTTAAACTATAAATTCCTTGATATGTTCTGATACTATAGAAGAATGATTCAGCAAAGAATCTCTGGATCCAAGGAGAGGAAAAAAAAATATCACGGCAATCACTTAACTACAGCAATTGATTTAATCAGAAAACAAGTCAAAATGGTTTAATTTGGGGGATTAAAGTATTTAGATAAGTTTATCTGCTACATCAAATACATAAGTCATTTAATCTCTTTGACCTTGTTTTATAATATGTACAATAAAAGGACAATAACCTGAATTACTTCTAAGTTTCTTTCCAAGTCTAACACCAGAAAATAACTTGAAGTAACAATTACCAAATAATTCTTCACTCATTGCAAACAGAACTTGAGCAAATTTCTTGGTCTCTTTGAGCTTTAATTTCCTCATTTACAAATTGAGGATAAGATCAGCCTTATCCATCTCACAAAACTGTTGTAAAAGTCAAGTGAGATAATGAAATACGTTCCTGAGCAATAGAGAGTATATCCTGGACAGTGTTGAAAAAATAAAGATTCTGTCTTTCAGAAGCCTCGCCAGCCACTAGCCCATGATTTGGCAACTTTAGACAACATGCTTTTCATGGTAAGAGGTGGGCACGTGGTATTAACTGTGCTTTATGTTCTAAATGTTTTATATTAAAATTTGATTCATACAAATCTTAGAAAGTTTTATCAGGTTGTTTTCCAGAAACTATTATAAATAAAACAAAACAAAGTACTGAATCACTGGGTTTTAACCTTGGCTTCATTGCTTACTTTGCTAATAAAGTTTAATTCGTCCGTCTATTTCTCTGTTTCCTGATTTACAAAATTAGGATTTCTTCCTTTCCTCTCTCCCAACCGGTGTTTTCAGGCTCACAAAATGATTTATGTGCTAGGCCAGTGGTCCGCAACCTTTTGGGCACCAGGGACCAGTTTCATGGAAGATAATTTTTCCACAGGAGGCGGCAGGAGGGTGGCCTCTGTGGTCAGGTCCCTAATATGCCACAGACCAGTACCAGTCGGCATCCCAAGGCCTTGGGGACCACAGTCTAGGCTTTATGAACTGTATTGTCCCATATTAATGGCAGGTCTTAGACCATTTTTTAATAAGAAACTAATATCTACCTTTTCTTTTTAAGTACTGAAAATTGCTGTTCTATATGCCAGAAATAGCACTTTTTTCCCATTCCAATCCTTTGATCCTCCCTCTCGGTACACTTGTCTTTGTTGATAGTTACAGAGTTCCAGGGCCTTACAGCAGCTTCAGTTAAAAACAGATAAGGACCAGGATCATGTCAGTTCATGATCTCATTCTCTGGGGGGAAAAATATGCACTAAGCAATAATCACTCGGCAAGTGTGGATTTGAAGTCCCCAGTTAGAAAACTAACCTGCCCCCAAAATATCAAATCACTATCATCATAAAAACAATTGTTGCAAACTTAAAATATTTTTAAGTTTTTCTACAAAATCATTGAATATTTAAGACTTGCCTGGATTCCTTTTAATGAGGAAACTCCCATATAAAGGAAAACACCATACAGAACAGGCATTGGAATAAACTGTAAGTAAAATGATCACAATTAGAACTTATGAGGAATAGGTACACAAAAACATATCAATGAGTAATTATAGGGATAGAAGTAAAAGATCCTGCAGTCATGAGGATTAGACCAATCTAACATTTCTACACACAGGAAAAATGCTAATATACAATAACCTCCTTGAAAAATTGTTCATTTTCTACATTTTCCTTCCTAAAAAGGGATTATGCACAGTGTGGGTACTGCAGTCAGACTATTTGGTTTAAAAAGCCAATTAACTTTTTAATCAAAACTTAACCTTTCTGTGCTTCAGTTTCTACATCAGATTGCCATGAATATTAAATGGCTTCAAATTATAAAACACTCAGAAAAACACCTGATCCAAATCGATCACTCATGAAACATTAGCCACCTCCTACAGGGACTATTATACATACAGTAGCATGTACTGAATACAGTAACTAAAATCCACCTCTGAAATAAAGTCCTTATCCACTGTGGCCATCATGAGAATCCCAGACTGCCCACGTGGTCCATGCCTAGGCATCCTACAAGAAAGCCTGGCTATTAATAGGCTCCATCCATTTACTCAAAAACCACAATCAGCACTCTGATCCAAACGAGAGGTCTATAAGGAAAAATGACTTAAAAACTACAGAGGAAAACCACATCCACTATACCTCCGCTAACAAACCTCGTATGTCTTTTCTAAGGACACTGGAAGAAAAAAATAAAAAATTTTTTACAGTAAAGGAAGTTAATAGATATTAAGAAAACTTATTGGGTCTTGAGGCTTGGGTTGGAGTGAAATAGGGTATATTTCTGCCTCCCAATAGCAGATCACACTGCTTAGTCCTTAGCAAATATTTATATCATATAATAAAATTCTTTGTGTTCTCAGAGGGTTTACATTTTTATAATTTAACTTACAAAAAAAGCACAGAAGGCTTAATTACAATAACAGCACAGAATGCAAATGTTATTAACCTTTACAATAATAATAAAAGTAAAAGCCAACAAAAGGCAGGAGATGAAAGGGAGGAGAGTGAGGATGGAGAATACATAAGCATCAGGAAAGACACAACCTTAGATCAGAGGCTCTCAAATGTTTTGGTCTTAGGATCCCTTTAAAAAGCACTGAGGACTTCCCCCCCACCCCGAACCAACTACTTTTGTTTATGTGGGCTATATATACTGATATTCACCATATTAGAAATTAAAAGAAATTTTAAATAGCTATTTTAAAATAACAATAAACCCATGTTAACATAAGAAACACATTTTTATGAAAAACTATAATTTCCAAAACAAAATACAATTAAGAGAAAGAAAGAGTTGTTTTACATTTTCCTAAAACTCTTCAGTGGCCAGCTTAACAGAAGACTATTGAATTATCGTGTCTGCATCTGCATTCAATCTGCTGCAATATTCTGTTCTGGCTGAAGTATATGAAAAAAATCCTGCCACACACAGTTATGCACCTGGAAAAAGAAAGATATGGCAAACTCCTGACAGGGTGTCAGGGACTCCCAGAGGTCTTTGGACTATGGTGACTTTGAGAACCACTGTTTTAGATAAAGAGATTCTGTCTAAACATAATAAACTGAAAAATAAAATTACAAAAATATTTAGAGCTATAATGATGGTAACCACCAGAACAGACTAAAAAAATGAAGTTAAAAAGTTTACCTCTGGAGAGTTGTTTTTGGAAAGTCAAAAAAATAGGACTAACTTTTCATTTTAGAGCTTTCTTCATATTCTACTTGAATTTTTCTACTTATATGTAGTTAATACTTCAGAAATTTTAAAACTTCTTTAAAAATGTAAAGGGCAACTTTAATTAATGGGTGACTGCATCCCCATAACATTACACTAAATATTTCTCCTCTTGTCCCCCCAAGCACTTCTAAAATACACTAAAATACCACTATTCTGTCATTGACCATTTACCTGTTTCACCAAAAAGACCTTTAAGTTCTTATGAGTAGACAATAATGTAAACTATTTTTTATTGCTTCCCTCATGCATAACAGCAGAGCAAGTACTTTAACAAATATTTGGTGACTTAATTGGCTGGTAGAAAGTCAATGAAATAAGGGCAAGAAACTCAATATTTAACTATGATTTTTTTTTAGTTAAAACATATTATACATACACACCCCAAATTTATACTCTAATTTAGAAATGGTATATGATTCTTAATTTTTCTTTTACAGCATAACTAAAACACCAAGGAGAAAAACAGAGTTGGGCTCTTTCATGATTACCAGAAAATATCAGATTAGATACTGAACTACATTTCCTGTAGTTATTTTTTTTTAATCTACTAGATTTAGTATGATGCATAATATAAAAACCAGATATGACTAAAAGTGTTTAAGATAAGTAATTTTTTTTATGCTTCACTATAATATTAGCTGTTTTTATTTATTTTTCTAATGAGTATTACTACTTTTGTTTCAGTTAGTCTATCAGGAAGAATACATTAAGTTCATTAACAACAATATTATTTTTACATTTTAGTAAAATAGATTATCATCCCCTCTTTCAATATTACTTCATCTAATATGCCTACAAAATCCTCTGGGTATATTCTCCTTTTAGATCCTACCTAGCTCCTTCCAAAACTATATAGCCTTTAATATTACCCTTTTACATTATTTTTAAAATGAATACACTTACTACTGATACTTACTATACTAAAAACATTACCAAATATTACCTCCCAAGCAAACTGTAGAAAACAAAACTAATTTTAGCTATTTTAAGTATATTTTAATGTTTCATTTTCATATAACTAAGTATAAATGTTATGATAAATAAGACTTTAACACAATGCAATAAAAAGACTTTACCTTTAGTACTGAAGTCATGAACACAGAGAGGCCCATTAGAATAAAAATCATTAGCCCTGTAACCCGCTGTTCACGAATTCCCAAAAACTTGGGTTGTTCCCCTGGAGCAGAACATTCAGATTCAACTTTTAAGCTGTTGACATGACTTATTGACAACACTGTTGCAGCCACAAACCACGGAAGTCCCATGACAGAGCAAACTCCCAACATGACACCAACCATGAGCAAATCGAGGTGATAGCCAGCTCCTTTCTGAAAAGTGAAATGAACATGAAAATTTATAAGTCTAAATAGTTCTTTCAGTTTAAAATTCTATACTAATTATAAAGAGGGAAGAAACTAATTTAAATCCTACATTTTTTAATGTTCTAATCATTTTGAAAACACCTCAAAACCTTGAAGAAATCACAATGTTTGAGGCAAAATTTTAAAATTACCTTCAATTTGTGCTCCTTTCTGTTTATGATTACAGCTGTAATCTGTTGATCCATAAAGATGAGAATGGTACAAAGCAGAGCAGGAATAGCAGCTATTAATAAGGTCCACCAAGGATTATCTCCCAATGGGCTTATGATCCAGCCCCTGTTTGGATCAGTAGGCTGTCAAAAAATTTAAAATAGTAAAGAAAAAAGTTTCCTTCCTCCATTGTACTAAATTTCCACAGCATGGGCTGGGTCTATTCCAAGAAATGCTAATGAATAGAAAATAACTGAATTAAATCTTGGGATGTATAGTGAATTATTTCCAAAGATAGCCACAGGGATGCTTCCCTTCCCTACCAGTGTATCCCTTGCCATGTGACTTAGTCATTCTTTCCATCTAGAGGTGGAGTCTATTTCCCTTCCCCTAGAACATGGAATGACCTTATGACTTACTTTAACCCACAAAGTAAGGCCAAAGTGACACTGTGTGATTGCAAAGTCTCGACCTCAAGAGACTTGCAGTTTCTTCTTTAACTCTCTTGGAACCCTGAGATTATCATGCTGTTATGTAAACCTACATACGTTTTCTTAATGATAAGATACAATGTGGTGGCGGGGGATGGGGGATGGCCAGGCAACTATCCCAGCTGTTTCAACCATCTGAGCTGAGGCCCCAGACATGTGAATGATGCCACATCGCCCCTATCAAGCCACTAGATAATGACAGACCATAGACCAGACCACTATCCAGCTAAGCCCAGTCCCAACTGCCACAGAATTATAAACAAATAAAGGGTTGTTGTTCAACAGCATCACATTTTGAGGAAATTTGTTATGCAGGAATAGATAAGCAAACCAGAATGTCATTTCAACATGTTGTTACATACTTAGTATAAGGTGAAATCAATCTACCTACAAGATCAACTCCTAAACTGCTTTAGAGATCCTGCAAACCAGTGACTTCGGCAGGGTCAGTACTAAATCAGAACTGGTCCTCAGCAAACTATTTTTGCAAAGCAACTACCAACAAAAATCTGTTTTGCATTCCCAAGCAACAAATAGCCACTTGTTTCACTCCTTACCTCAAATTTTTCAGGAACATGAAGTTTAGGAGATGGAACTCCTACAAGGTAGTCAATTGAAACCATTATCACTATGGTGAGAAATACGGCAAAATCACTGATTGTTGATCGCACCTATGTTAAAGGGATTATGTTAATATAAACACAGAAATACTAAGTGCCCTTTCTAAATAATTCATGTCTTTCACAGATAATATGTCACTAGAAAGTATGAATCGCATTTTTAATTAGTGACAATGTTAACAATTATATACATTTATATCTAATTCTTTCCCAAAACATTTCACAACTAATCCAGCAACTCTCATGATACCATTATCTTCCTACTGTGAGCTCTGACATGTAATAAATACTTTACACTATAAATAATTTCTTGCCAAATAACTATTTGGCATAAAGTATTAACCTCAAATAATATATTACTGTTTTGAAATAAACCAAGGAAATGAAAATTTAAAACACGAAGAATTCTAAAATTAGATCCCAGTTACCTTGGTAGGAAAATAACGCTTGGTCTTAAATTGCTTGAGGAATGAAGACAGAAAAAATGTTGTGAAAAATAAGATGACACACCAAAAGAGCACATCTGGAATATAAGGGCCATGAAGACCACAAGCTGATCCTATAAATACACCATGATATGTTTTACATTCCTAGAAAAAAAGAGAGAGATGAAAGGGATTCTTAAATATCCAATAAATTATTAATAAAATTCATTGACTCCAAGATGCAACTGATTGTAAGATACACAATTATTTTATGTTTCACTTAGAAAGAAAAGACATTGCCAAATTATAGTATACCATTAATTAATACACCATGAGTTCAGAGATGTTATAATCTGAAAAATATATGTATCTCAAATCACTGAAATATAATTATTTTGCCAAGTTACAATAATATAATACAATTATAGAAATCTATTGACTTGATTTTCTCTTATGGAAGAAAAATAACTGAAAGGCAATCAGAAATTAAGAAAGGCACATGCCACTAAAGTCCTTTTTTTAATTTATATTCTAATGAAGTTTATTTTAACAAAATAAGTCAGGTATGTACCAAAAGAAAAATAGTTAAATGTTCCATTATTTTCAGTTTCCATGTACTGATGGATGATGGAAATAAAAGCTACACCTACCAAAAAAAATAAAAACCCCAACCCTCACATGGCCCTTTTGAATATCAAGAAAACACTCTGAAAAGGCCTATATCTAGAACATCAAGACATCCTATGTATTCTCAAAAAAATTCTTTTTAACAAAACACTTTTATTTGAACACATGTATTAACTATACTTATTACATAACAAAAATGACTTTTCAAATTATAAAATAGTAAAGCATGGATCCAAGTTGTTTACTGATTTTTACTGCTTTAAATTAGCTCTGTCCAATAAAATTGTATGATAGCAATGTCATATATCTTCACCATCCAACACAGAAGCCAGCAGTCACACGAGTAGATTGAGTGCTGATACATAGCTACTTAACTGAGAAACTAAACTTTTAATTAATCATATTTAATTTAAATTTAAATAGGCACATGTAGCTAATGGATACTGTACTAGACAACACAGCCTTAAATTACCAATGGGATAAAATTTCAGGTATCTTCAAATTATATAGTTAGGGGCTAACTATCAGCTTTAGTGAGGAAGGAATGGCCCGTCATTGCTTACATATTATAAAAAGCACCAGAGTCCTCACTTCAACAGCACATATGCTATAAAGCACCAGAGAAGCTCAGGGCATCTGAGTTTAACTTGGACTGCTAGCATCACTTTACATCCCAACCTTGGAAGTGTCCCAAATGAATATTCTAGGGCTAGGACAATATTTCCCAACAGAATACGAAGCATCTGTAATAGTATTCAGTACACAGTAAGTGCTCATTACAAGTTTTTGTCCTTTTTCCTTTATCTTCCTTTAGTGCTTGAGTCAGACTGGTCTCTACAAGTTACACATTCAGGACATAACCACAGCACTCATGATCCTCTAAATAAGCTGCCCATAGAGGAGATGAACTGATAAAAAGCAAGCAGGACAAGCGGACACAAAATGTTTTATAATGTCCAGAATATGTAACCATAGTTCCAGTAAACATTTCTTTTGAATTTATCAATCTAAGTAGGATTTGAAACCAAAAGTATATTCACATCTTTTTAATAATTATATCTTGGAATTCAAATATAGTCCACCTTTATCTCTTTTACCAGCTTCATTCTTTTCAGCCTGTACTTTCCAGTGCACGATACACAAAAAATTGGTAACTACTATTTGGTAATAACACCACTATATTCTGAAAACATACTATATATCCATTGATCAAGAAAAAATGTATGTCTAATCAGAAAAAGCTAAAAGAATCAGAATAATACATATTTAAAAAATCCTTTATTTCATAATATACTCACAGAAACAGTGAGATTACCCCAGGAAATATTGTGTGCTGTTATATTCTCTTTATTCCACAGCTCTAGAGTTTCATTGCTAGGGTTAGGAGGTTCGGTACACACACATCTGAGAAATTAAGAGTAGAATAAATGTTTAAGGATCCTGGATTTCATGTTCACATTTTACTAAATCAATTACACAATGTGGTAGCTTTTAAATTCTCACCCTTTTTACCATGTTGCAAAGCATGGAGACTAGAAAGTGGAAATACATCAGAAACAACAACAGAATGGAATAAGGTTTGGGTTACAGAAATAAAATAAAACTGATACAAATATCAATTAAATGTTTACTTAATGAAACTAGTAAAATATACACTTTGTGGGGGGGGGGGCACTATTTTCTTTAACACACTGACTGCCACACTAGAAAAAAAAATGTTTTCCCTGGAGCCATGGTGTTTTAAAACAAAATGATCCATCCTAATTTGTTATTTTTTATTGTTTTCTGTGCATGAGTTAAATGCAATGCAATCCACATTTTTAGAATAAAATTGTCAATATCAATTGTAATAATAATAACAGCAACAAGTAAGATTTTCACAAACCAACTGCAGCGTTTTGCTTCATGAGGCCCAGGCTCAAAACTAGCCTGAATTAAATACAACTCACATGGCAGTCGATGTGTTAAGAATCTGAGAAGATACCACCATGGTTAGCAACATTACTCTCCACTAAATCTTATCTATTCAACCTCCATGGCCAATTACTGCTGTCTCCACTCCACATATGGAGACTCCCACACGTAGAGACTCCCAATAAGTTATACTACTGTTAATTCTTTGTACTCTAACAAGTGCTATCTACTCATGCTCACTCTTTATTGATCTTAAGACTTATTCTTAAAGAAATAAATAAAACATGGTTTTTCATCGGGACAGAACTAGGAGAGTCACATCAGTTCATATCCGGAACTATTTCAATAGCCTAAAAAGGCTAGAAATACACACAAGCAAATAAACTTTAAAATGTATATTTTAAAAAAGGAAAAAAAATCCCTAAATATTTCCAATTAGATTATAAACTGTTTGAGAAAAGGCAAGAAGATGGACTTTGGAGTCTGTCCAGGTACTATCATTTACTAGCTGTTTGACCTAAGGCCAAGTTTTAATCTCCAAGAGCCTCAATTTGTTCATACATGAAAGGGGCTATGATGTCAATAATAAAGTAACACTACGAATTATAAATTTATAATATAAATTAGGCAATAGCCCTAACACAGTGCCTGTAAGTGCTCACAGAATGTTAGGTGAATGAATGCTGTTCACATGTAATTACTAAGTCACCCAGAAGAAAACATTGCTCTAGCTGGCTGACACTAACTATAAAAGTCATGCTTCATAAAGGTCAAAGGAGCAAACGGCAGGGAAAGAGAGATGACAAAAAAAATTTTTTAATTAAAGCATTTAAGGCCAAAGAAGATGGCACATAATATATTTAGCAGCAAAGTGTCACTAATATTTTCAAATAGGTCAATGTCTTATAGGAATTTTCATATCCCTATGCTGTCCATCAAAGTTGAGGGGGTACAAGGAAAGGTAGCAGGGAAAGAAGGAATGGAAAGAAGGAATGGAAGGAAGGGGGAGAGTACAGGTACTTGGGGCCTATAGAAAAAGAAAATCTATGTCCTTTTTAGTCTTTTGGTAACCACATTTCTCCATGTAAGTTAATCAAATACAGTACCATATTTACACCAAACCAAGCATGACTGCTAAAGACAGCTAACATAGGAATCTACTTAGATGTGTCTAATTTCAATAGCCTATTTTACTTCAATTGAACATATTTGCCAACCTTTTTGTTGTAACTATTATGTATTACTTTTCAAATCCCATTTTATTCTAGAGTTTTAAAATATTTCTATTTCATGCTTTTCTTATCACAAAGAAAATATTCCACTAAACAGCAGACAAGTATATTGAAATTTTACTGAAAAAAAGAACTTTTAGTAAAAGTTATCAAGCTTCAAAAATATTAATGAAAATGCAAAATGTGAAGAATATATAAATTTTAAAAATATATCCTATATCCTACTATACATCCAGAATTTAGTTAAAGAATTTAAGATACAATATAACTGCCTGATTCAAATACAGGATAGGTTAGTTGCCAAATAATCAAACTTTAAACTGGCCTATCCGATTGAAACAAAAGACTAAAAATACACACACTTGAACGTTATTTCGGTCAACAAAAAGGACTGAATTTGGTCAACTATATTTATGTCCATTGACTGCTTTGCCAAAATCTCATCTGAAATAAACATGTCCAACTACCACATGGCTCGTTGAGTAGTTGCAGCTAGACACAGTGAACATCATGTTGCAAAAAATCCATCTTCTTAGGCTCTGACATCTCTGCAAAAACACATTTTAAAATTAGGGGGAAACAGAAACACTTACGAGTAGCTGGTCAGTTCATCTAAGTTGTTGTGCATATTAAATGCATATATTTCTCCTAAATGAAAGAGTTTCTCCAAAGCCTCGTAGATGAATATGATACAAATGAGAGCCGCAAAAGCCTCCTCTGTAAATCGAGTAATATAACACACAAGGCTGCTTGCATCTGTGGCAACCAAAACAATGCACAAAAAAGAAGTCCATAGACCAATACTGGTTCTTAAAGACAGATAGGAAAGGTGATAATCTCTGTTTAAAAAGAAAAATGTGAACATGATGAACATATGTATGTGGAATAGTATTCGTACATAAAAATTTTCACAACAAGCAATAAGAATAGCATAAAAACATAATTTCTAAAAAGGAGAGTAAACTACGGAATGACAAAATGACTAGAGAAAACTGTTTTTCTGCTTCAACTGAACACCAGCTTCTTATTAATAGATGTGTTGGTTACTATACTTACATGAAAGATTTACAGTGATAATTTACTATGCAATAAATATTTCAAAATTAGACCTCGCTTTAGAAATCAGTTATGAGTAAAAGAGAGATATAGAGTCTACAAGAAAGAACAATTTTATCTGACTCCCTATGAAGATCCAGAAGTCGTATATGTCAATATGGCTCCAACATCATTACCATCCCACCACGACCTCCTCTCCCATGATAAATTCTTGTTTCAAATTTCAAATAAGAAATTACTACCAGAGTCTATACTATAGGCCATTGTCTATTAGTCTATGTACCATGCCAGATTATAATCAGAACCAACTGGTATAGAAAGTGATCAGAACAAGACAGTTAAATCAATCAAATATTTAATAGCATCAAGTTGTTTCACACTAAAATATTGAACTACATTTATGTCACAAAGAGAATAGTACCGGCCATGTTGAATTCAAAGTCCAATTGCTACAGTACCCTATATTCATTTCCACACTGAGAACAATCTTGCCAGTGGAAACTGACACTTCACTTTGTTTCAAGCCCCTCTCTGTTAAACAGGAATGACTGGAAAGGTCAGCACAGGCCTTCAAGACCCACCTCTTTCTAAACCTCTTGTATAAAACCAACATATCATCTAACAAACAATTCAGATTAACACCTTTTTACTGGTTTAAATTCACTAGCATAAAGGATTTTTATTGTTCCTCAAGTGACTTGCTTATCAGTACTCAAAATCCATTGATTTTACACTCAAGGGCAATTTTACTTTCCTCATTTCTATGTCATTGGGTTAGGAATGGTTTTAGGGGTCAGGGTAGGGACAACCACACAGTACCCCAAAAATACTGAAACTGCATATATTGATCAGATCCTCTTTTTCAGCTATTAAACTAAGTTAATAAACAATTTAACATATAATTGTACATACGTGCAAACACGCCATGAGGAGAGAACTATTACTTACCTGCAGAATTTAAATAAAATTTTTTCAAACACTAGAACTGGACCTGTGCTCCCCAATATTGTTAGAGGTTGCCCAGCAAACAATGAATAGGCAATCCCAGTTAATGATGCTCCAAAAAGAGACTCTATTGCACTCTGTTTAAGGAAAAAGAAATGAATAAAAGCAATACATCATAAACACATCTCTAACCTACTATAATACATGTAGGACATCTGGAAAATAAAAATACTAATCAAGTAGTTATAAAGTAACACAACTGTGAGTCTTAAATTTAAATTTTAAATATGGAAAATTACTAATACATTTTAAATACATAGGAAAAACTGCTTTCTTTTTGCATATTAAAAGTGAACTTTTTGTGATCGTCCTTAGTTCAAAATTCAGTATAGGTTGAGTATCCCTAATGCGAAAACTCAAAGCCTGAAACTTTTTAAGTGCCAAAATGACATTCAAAGGAAATGCTCATTGGAGTATTTTGGATTTTGGATTAGGGATGCTCAATCCCTTTGTACAATGCAAATATTCCAAAATCCTCTAAAAAATCCAAAATCCAAAATACTTCTTCTGGTCCCAAGGATTTCAAATAAGGGATACTCAACCTTTACCATCAGGTGCAAGGAGGAAAGAGTAAATGGAAGAGACACACAAAAGGGCTTCAACTCTTTATCTATAGATGTTTTATTTCTTAAGTCTGTGAGTGAGTATAAAAGGGTATGTATTATTTTGAATACTCTAATAAGTGTAAAATAGTTCATTTTTGAATGCTCTAATAAGTCTAAAATAGTTCATTTTAAAAATACAAAATAATAAATAATATGGTGCTACAAAAAGGATCTTTCAAATAAGTCATAACATGTGATCCTATCTTTCTCAAACTGATTTCTAAATGGCAATTTTCCACTTAAAGAAATTAATGATAGGCTTAATCAATTGATATTAAAACTGAAATACTTAAAATAAATGAGAAAAATCTCTTTAAAAGACTAAGAGAAATTTTAAGTCAAAGCTAGTACACTAATTTTGAATCACCACCAACATTACATTCTAACTGATTAAGTTGTTAGATGCTATGCCACTAGAAAAAGGAAAGGGATAAGAAAGTAAGGAAAGAATAGTTTGTCATTGACAAATATCAAGTCAATTGGAACGCACTATCCAGAAAGGAAAAGTTCATAATCAGTAAAGGCAAGGAAAAGAAGCTTGTAAGAAACAACCCTCCTGAAACAAGAGGCAGCACAGCAGCAGGCAAAGAGCGGGGCTTCGAAACGAGATTTGTAGTGGAAGACTGGTTACTACTAGGTGTTTGAGTCATGGCCGTATCTTAACCTTATCAAACCTAAGCCTTCTCATTTTTAAATGGGGGTGATGACGACTAGAAAAATATAAGTAGTGTTTGCAAAAACACCTAGTAAGCACAGTGTCTGGCAGATAGATGCACCTAATGGACGGTAGCAATTCTCACCAGCTATAACAGCATCTTCCAAAATCAAAACGACAAAACAACAGTATTCGGTGAAAGTATAATTCAACTATTAGAATAAAAACAGGATCGAACTCACACACGAATTTGTCTTTTGGCAACATGAAGGAGAAGTGTCCATATTAATGATACATTTCTTAACTGTATGGGATAAATTTATTTTCTTGCCCATGGGAAAACAAGTTTGTCATAGAAGATACTGCCAAGCCATCATAAAACCCTTAGTTCAATTAGAATATGCACACTTGGGAATGAATTTAGGCAGAGCTTAAGTCAAAGGAAAAAAATGTCTGGTATCTAGAGACAGCAAAAAATTGAGAAGAGAAGCAAGGAGGTAGCAAAATAAGAAAATATTAACAAGGGGCGAATGGGCACAAAATGAAGGTTCCCCTTCCCCAACCTTAGGTTGAAACAGCAGGTATTGTCACAGGAAGACCTTCCTTTCACCCCTGCCCCTATTGTCACATTCACTAGAAGCAAAAATTTCTCTTACCCAGACCTATTTTTTTTCTAATTGTTGAACTGTTTTTATGTTTACTGTCAAACTGAAACCTGTCCTTCCCTAAAGAAATCTCAGCCCCATTACACTGCCTGCCTACCTCACTTGTACATTGAGAAGTTTCCCCTTTACCCATCAGAAGCCGTACCCTTAGCTTCCCCTCGCAAATCTATATGAACTTCTCTAGACTGCACTACTACTCTCCTACTCTGCTAAGTTGTCAAACGCTCCTTGCTAATCTTTCCTCCTTCTCAAAACTTCTAGTTTGGTTTTCACAAAACTACATCATCCTGATTGCTCTTCTAAGTCTCTGTGTCTAATGCGCTGAGTCGTTTTCCTTTTCCATCCCATCCCTGCATCTCATCCTTCCTCCATTCCATATGTCTAGGTAATTCCCACTGTCTCCCTCTCCTTCTCTCCCTGTAAATTATCTCCTTTGTTAAGCTCATCTGTTCTCAGTTTCAACCCTCTCTTATATATGAACAATTCTCAAAATCTTTACATTTCCTCTTCATCACTCTATAAATGCTGGAACTCTACTTCCTAGTATCTCCATTTCTGCTTGAGGTTTTAATAAAGCACCTGAAAAAAACACATCTCCATATCCTTTTTCTCCATAATTATCCCTGTGCTATCTCTATTATTATTACTTCAACTCCTATAGCCCTTCCTTTATCTGACTCATATGTGGCAAAGCACACCATGACATAGTCACTATGTACATACTAATATATACATATATCTTTCTCACTTAGGTTAAGGATCCTTGAGGACAGGAGATACATGTTCTTCCTACACTTGTCTACATCCCTCCAGTGCCTAATGAACTAAGACGTTAGCAGGATGAGACGGGCAGGCAGTGACAGTCCATGAGCAGAGAGGGAGCATTTCCATGATGGTAACAGATAAAACACATTTCCATGGGGACCAGCAGAGTTACATGCACAATTTGTGATAGCACATACAGCAACTTACTAAAAATATATACCTCCGATACAATAATTAAAGACTAAGGTAAAAAGAATCTAAATAATCAAAAATAAATTCAGAATTGCAAGAAAACTTCAGTTGTCAGATTTATCTCGTGTTCAGCTCATGAAACATTTTAATTGAATAATTATCATTACTTAGCTTTGGCTATTTTTTAAACTCCTACCCCACCCCGGCTTTGGCTATTTTTTAACCGTTTATCTATATAAAATGAATTTTCTACCAAGAATAAATATAGTTAAGTAAAATACACTTAAGATCTTAAGAATTACAAATCATCTAATTTAAATTCTATTAAAACATATATAAACAAAAAAAAAAATGTCTCTCAAGATTTCACAAAGCACCACAGCTTTACAGTATTATCACAAACAAAAAAACAAAAAACTTCCCTTTTAGTCTTATCAAAGGATGGACGCAGCTTTCATTATATTTTATTTTTTCCAAATAAAAGCTTTGGCTATTTTCACAGATTTAATAACAGCAAACTTAAAGTAAATGCCACTTCAAAAAGCCATTATATTTGCATATTATATCTATTCTTCCAAGTAGTCTAGTCTAGGCCTACAAGCCAGGACTGATGAATTAATATTAAACATATGGCTCTAACTAATCCTTTGATACTTTACAGGATGAAGTAACCCCACTGATAAATCCTCCCACCCATGACCCACACAGAATTGGTTCAATTGGTGTCTCCTCCCCGCAATCCACCCAGCCCAAAAGACAATGCAAGACTTTTACTCAAATTATAAAACCATTCATCCAGCAAGCCAAGATAATTTTTTTTTTTTTTGTTACCTCAACTGTGCATCTTCTGTTCAAATGGCTTCCCCATGTTTTCCATAGCAATTACCTTGGGGGGAAGTCTGCTTTGGGACAGGTTAATCATGCTGTGGGTAGACTCTTCAAATAAAAGTATGAATAGTGAGACAAATGCATACAGACACTTGCCTCTGAAGAGCTAAGAGCCTGGCCACTACCAATCTTTGTACTCACTATTCTGCCTTCTGTAGCTTCTCCAAGCAGCCCTCCAAAAGTGATTACAGGAGACATACAGGCACAGTATAGGAAAAGAATCGAGGCCAGGCACTGCAGGCTTAATGCATCCTTGAAGTCACTCAAGAAAAAAGGTGCTTTCCTTTTGATGTCAAGTATCAAACCACCAAAAAGCCTAAATAGGTGAGATGAAACTCGTCAAACTGTACACTAGAGGATTCTAGCTAGTTCAAACTAAAACTATGGGGTACACAAAACTGCTGGTGCCTAGTATTTTGTCAACAAAAATTAAAATCCAGTTTAAATCATGATATAAATTATGGAAGATATACTCATTTAATCTAATCTACTGATGATAGAGGAAAGGTTTATTTCATTAACTTAAAAGAGACAAACATCTATATTTTATGGACTATTTACTGAAAAAAACTGCAGGCAAATGATTTTATATGAGTAAATGTAATTTTGGACACAAATGTGTAAGGAAATGTACAATAAAAATAAATAAAATCTAACAACCCATCATGAAAATGTGCATAAGCAATTCTATTATCGTCTACATTATAAATCTTAAAGGCAACTCTCACAAATACCAGGAAGGCAATTATAATCACAATGAATATAAAATTAATATGAATGTAGTGTGCTGTGCTTAGATACATAAGTAGTAAATTAAATAATAACTTAAACTCAACTCAACTCAATAACTTAAAATTAGTACTTCAATCATATAAATATTTCTGTCTAGGAAAAAAATCAACTCTAAAAACTGTTTTCAATATATTTAGTTTACTATATATGTAGTCAAACAAGTGTATTTATAAATAAAACTGAGAGGTTTTAATTAGTAGATTAAAATCTGTATTTGTCCATCAGAGCCATATCATTTCAACTGTTTTTTTAAATCAGACTTTTGGATACATCTAACTTCAAAACAAGCTTCAGGAGGGGCAGGGATTTTTCTTGTTCACTGCCATATCTCTGGTGTCTAGAACACAGTCGGGCACATAGCAGGTACTCAACAAACACTGGTGACTGAATCAATAATTCAATAAAGCTTTATGACTCATAAAATAAATAATCATTCAAATCCCAACTGCAGGAAAATACACAAAAAAATTAACGTTAAGCTTTCAAATGCTTTGGATGTTTCAAGCTTTACCATTCTAATTTTTTAAAGTTAATATTGAAATAAATCCTAAACACACATTGAAAAGTTGAAAAGTGGAAGAAGTTATTCTAAATAATATGACAGCAAGAGGAATCAGCTTGCAATAAAAAAGGTGCCACTGATAATCCAAAAAAAGAATCTACATCATTTAATCAATAATTGATTACTTAACAGATGGCTTTAAGACGCTCTCTGGGAACTGTGAGATCAATGGGGGCCTGACATGGTGCTTCTCAGCGACTAACCCCATCCCAGTTTGAAGTTTGAAGAAGCAATAATAGCTAATAACAGAACAGCATTGTTCACACAGGGATGAAGTTTTTTCTTTATTATATTTACAGAGACTAATACATTTCATTAGTCAATGAATTAATTGTGAACTTAAGCTTCTCTATATTCAGTATATTAGTTGTTTATTTTTCATATGTATGGTACCCTTCAGGCATGTCATCAAAATCCCTGAGAGTGAATCTTAAATCTTTGTTTAAAAGATTTAAAACAAAGATTTAAGATTCAAGATTATTTAGTTCCACGTTGACCACCAGTGGACAATATAGTATCAATACCCACATGCTTTGCTATAGTATGAAAATACTATAACATTTATCTCCTTCTACAAAATAATTTAAGGCAATATTTACATCTGGTAATATTTCTATTCTTTATTCCAAAAATTAACTTGTTAATTTTTCTAACTAGGTTTCCAGTGATCATTACAGTGGTTTAATCATGTTCGTCCATCTCAATTATATATTATCTCATGATATAATGCTCATTTAAGAGTTTTAAATCTATGCACACACATAAAAAAATCATTAGTTACAGTTACTCTCTGTTCCCATAATTCTCTAACTTGATATGGAGAATCTTAATAGGACTCTATACCTTCTTCAAGAACCTTCTGTATAACCAACGGAAATTAATCTACATACTATATAACTGCAATATTCTGAACATATGGTCCATAGCTTGGTACATACTATTAAAATTATTTTTAAAAGCATATAAATTTTCCTTAACAATAATGTGCATTTTTTTAAAATGTGAAAAAAACATTGTATAAGATTAGGTTCCAAATACTTGGAAAGAAAAAGAATATTTATGCCTTTTTCATCAAATCAACCCTTACCCCAAAAAGATATGAGCATTTGTACCCACCGTCCAGTCCTCTGTAGCTCAGGCCCAGCATGATGAGCGGCCTCTTTAGGAGTCTCGCCTGACGTGGGGGCAGATCCATTGTGAAACACAGGAATCTTTCTCTTTTCCTGAATTTCACAAAAACACATTTTCAGATTTCTATTTTAAGAAAACTATGATGGCATTTTCAATTAGTGGGAACATCAGATTTTATATTGATTATTTATCTATCAGTGGTCCTAGAAAGAAATGCTTCTTGATACAAACTTCCTTTTTGAATAAATTGCACTTTAGGTTAGAATCTAATATGTTTTTATTGATATTTTAAATTTATGATTAGCTTTTTGTATTATATTCTAATATCAATATATTATAAAACATATTCATATATACCATTTCAAATTACATTTCACCAATAGCTATGAATGTAAGTTACCTCCTCCACAAAGTATCTCTCCTACCAAAATTTTTAAAATATTGCTCATGTTAACTATTGAAAAATATACTTTAAATTAAGAAGAGAGTAAATGCCGTTTTTCTTTTACTAAAATATTTCCCTTACGATATAGAAGTAGCATGAGAGTTGTTTGTTAAACAAGTTTTCATAAAAATCAATTTTCCATTACATTTTATTACAAATTCAAGAGTATTGTTCCCATGACACAGATCTTCTCCTTTTCACTCGAAGACAAAGGAGTAAGCTTTTGTTACCATATGAGGTTGCTGGCGCTAAAAAAATTTGTGTGGGGACACACACACATGGGGGAAAGAGAAGGAAAGGAGAAGGAAGGAGTCAGAAATGGAGAGGGAAAGAGACAGATCATGTCATCCCAGGAGGTCCCCTTGGTCAAAGGATCCAGTTGAAATACAGACTTACGCTACCTGGTTTATGAGTTCAATATTTATAGAGTAGCAAGATTCATCTATAAATATAAGATTACCATTTGAAAATGTCAAAATTAAAACTAACATCTAAGAGGAAAAAGAGAAAACAAAATTATGGAATTCCTAGAAAACAAAAATAATGTAAAGCACTACATTATTATAATCTATGGGAAACAACTAAAGCATCATTAAAGAAAATTAAGCACTTATATTATGAAAAATCAAAGAAGAAAAAAATGAATTACACATTTATCTCGGAAAATGTGAAAACAAAAATCTTTCCTGAAGGAAAGTGAAAGGAACAAAATAAAACAACTAAACATAGAAACTAAGACAGAAAACAAAACACATTTTTTTAAAAAGGAGAACTGAAATAAATTTTAAAACCTGCTATTTGATAAATATAGTAGACCATTATTAATACACAAAATAAATGTGACAAGGAGGCCATAATTTCCCAAACTAAGGGAATTTTATACATATACACACTCTCTCTCATATGACTCTATATGAATAAATTAAAAACATAGATGACATGGGTATATTATAATAGGAAAACATAATTTACCAAAACTGACTCCGGAAAGAGGAAAATAGGTTATTTTCTAAGAAAATGTAATTTACCAAAAGGGAACCCAGAAAAAATAGAAAGCTTACACAAAACTAATTTCCATAGAAGAAATAAACAAAATGACAAAAGATTCAAGCGCAAAACATTTTACAAAGGAATTCTTCCAAACTTTTAAAATGAAATTATTCCACACCATTTAAACTGTGTAAGAACACAGAAAAAGGAAAAGTTACATTTTTTTTAATGAAACAAGTAAACCAATGATACCAAAATATGAAGATGGCACAAAAATCTATGGACCAATCTACTTACATAACTGTAATGCAAACAACATAAAGAGAGCAGTAGGCACTGTAAAGTGCAAGTTGGGTTGACACAGAATGCAAGAGTGTTCCATATTAAGAAATCTATTAATACGATTTACCACAATAATTGATAAATAAAATTCATATAATCACCACCAGAAATGCTGAAAAGGCATATGATAAAGTACAACATCCAGTTATGTTAAAAATTTCAATGAAACAGAAATTATGGTACTTTCTTAAAAAGATAAAATGTATATTTTGATCCCAATGTCATTATCTTCCTTAAATGGAAAAAACACTAGACATTGGCTATAGTAAGAAATGAGATAAGAAATGCCCATTTAAAGCCCACTGCTTCTTAACACTGTAATTAAGATTTCAGTGTAAGATTTGGAAATTTTTTAGAAAAATTCGGTATAAGATTTGGAAAAGAAAGGATAAAACTATCTCTCATTGTAGGTAATATGACTGAAAAACTACTACATATAATAAAAGAAAGGTAACAAGATAAAAAATATACAGTTGACCCTTGAACAATGTGGGGGTTGGGGCATCAACCCCTGTGCACTTGAAAATCTGCGTATAACTTTTCGACTCCCCAAAAACTTAACTACTAATAGCCTACTGTTGACTGGAATGCCTTACCTATAACAGTCAATTAACACATATTTGATATGTTACATACTATATTCTTACACTAATTCTCACAATAGAGAAAAAACATTAAGAAAATCATGTGGTAGAGAAAATATATTTACCTTTTTTTTTTGAGACACAGTCTTGGTCTGTCGCCCTGGGCAGAGTAGAGTGCAGTGGAGTTGCATCATAGCTCACGGCAACCTCAAACTCTTGGGCTCAAGAGATCCTCCTGCCTCAGCCTCCCAAGTAGCTGGGACTAAAGGTGCATGTCAGGATGGCTGGCTAATGTTTCTATGTTTAGTAGAGACGGGGTCTCACTATTGCTCAGACTGGTCTCGAACTCCTGAGCTCAAGCGATCCTCCCGCCTCAGCCTCCCAGAGTGATAGATTACAGGCATGAACCACCGCGCCAAACCTAGAAAATATATTTACTATTCATTAAGTGAAAGTAGATCGTCATAAAGATCATCCCGCTCATCTTCACATTGAGTAGGCTGAGGATGAAGAAGAGGAGGGGTTGGTCTTGCTGTCTCAGAGGTAGCAGAGGCGGACGAGGTGAAGGAGGTGGAAGGGGAGGCAGGAGTAGCAAGCACACTCTAAGTGTAACTTAATGGAAATACATCGTGTCTGACTTTTTTGCTTTTTCATTTTTCTAAAAATGTTTCTATATGGTACCAATCCTTCTTCCACCATTTGCTTTAGCTGCACTGCTCATATCATAGAAAGGTCCATGTTTTAAAAGAAGTCAAAAGCAGTCTTTAATAATCAGAACCCTTCTGCCAGATTGTCTAAAGTCAATTAGTTTTCTGGCACTGTTTCTATGTTTTCTTCCTCATTGTCTGGCACTGGTTCAGAAGCACTCATCTCCATCAAGTCATCTTCTGTCAATTCCTCTGGTGTGGTGTCTATTAGTTCTTAATTTTCTCCAAAACCCAAGAGTTTCTCCAAAACTCTTCACCCCCTACGTTTTCAGCCATATCTACAATGTCTTCCATGACTTCTTTAAGTGGCTCCATCATAAATCCTGTGAAGTCATGCACAACATCTGGACACAGTTTTCTCCAGCAGGACTTTATTGTTTCAGGCTTGATGGCATTCATGGCTTTTTCTATAACAATGACGGCATCTTCAATGGTTTAGTCTTTCCAGACTTTCATGATGTTCTCTATATTGAGGTTCTTTTCCACAGCATTTACAATCCTTTCCATAGAATATCATATGCAATGAGCCTTAAAGGTCCTTATGACCTCATCATGATCCAGAGGCTGAATTAGAGACGTTGTATTTCGAGGCAAGCAGACTACCTTGATACCCTTAGGTGTTGAACTCGGGGTTTTGAGTGGCCAGGGCATTGTCCAATTTCAAAAGAACTTTAGGAGGCAGTCCCTTACTGGCAAGGTACTTCCTAACTTGAACAAAGTAAAGATGGAACCAATCCAGAAAAAGGGTTCTCATTGTCCAGGTCTTCTTGTTGTATAATCAAAAGACTGGCAGGTTGCATTTGTCTATTCCATTCAAGGATAAGGGGGGTAAGGGCCGGGTGCGGTGGCTCACCCCTGTAACCCTAGCTCTCTGGGAGGCCGAGGCGGGCGGATCGTTTGAGCTCAGGAGTTCCAAACCACCCTGAGCAAGAGCGAGACCCCGTCTCTACTAAAAATTAGAAAGAAATTAATTGGACAACTAAAAATA